GATACAATGCTGGGTCCTTGTGTGTCTGAAAATATCTTTATTCTACCCCCCTGCATGTCTGGTTGTGTATTAAATTCTAGATTGAAAATAATTTTCTCTTAGAATATTTAAAGAATTATTCCATCGTTTTCTGGCACCCATTGTTGCCATTGAGTCATATTCTAGTCTGATTCCGTGTGTGTGTGTGTGTGTGTGCCTGTCTCATTTATTCTCTTTGGAATTATTCAGAAACCATTTCCCTCTGATGGATCTTATTTTATTCATTCTGCTGTGTATTATGCCTGTCTCATTTATTCTCTTTGGAATTATTCATAAACCATTTCCCTCCGATGGATCTTATTTTATTCATTCTGCTGTGTATTAGATGCACAGATATCCTCTTTGGCTTGGGGGCATTTTCTTGTACATTTCTATAATTCATCTCTTCTGTTTTTTTCTGATCTTTCTGGTGTATCTATTGACATGTTGGGTGTTACATTGATTCTGTTTTTTATCTTTTTTTTTAAGTTACTTTTTATTCGTTTGAGTCACTTCAATGTTGGAAGCTTTCAGCATCAAATATCCAGTGATCCTGGACTATCTTTTCATTTTTAAGAATGACATATTAAAAAGCAGGATTAGCCTTCTTCACTGCAAATGTAAGGGGGCAGGTACTGGCCTTTTTATTTCAGGACTCCTAAAATTGCAACATGTAGAGTTAGTTGCTGGGCCCCTGTCCTCCACTCCCACCATATTTTTTCTAGAAGAGGTCCTCCATTTCTTTTTTAGAAATTTTTTTATTACCCCCTTGCATCTTGGAAGCTGGGCTGGATAAGTGAGTGGATGAATCCTATAGTGTTAAGATATAATATTATGAAATATAAAATATTACTAGAAATTATATAAGAATTTTTGTTTTCAGCTTCTGCCCTGTTCCTGCCCTCTGCTTGATGTCCCTGAGCTCACGCACTTGAGAGAGTAGGTAGAATGCACAACCACTTGGCTGTGTGGAGTTGGGGACCGGGCAGAGTTTGAGGGCAGGGAGGTAGTTGCCCCCCTGCTCTATATTGAGACACCTGACTACCTTCCCCGCAGTGAGCACTCTGCCCGACCCCCAGCTGTCACAGTGGAGTCCCTCATTGGCTCCCTGGGGGACATTTGCTCAGTTCTCATGTGTGTTTTCCTTTTCACTTGGGTCTCAGTTTCTCTGCTCTGGCGAGTTAATCTTTCCTTTACTTTCTGTCTTCCAGATACCTCTTGAAATATTTGATCATGTTGCCTTTCTTAGTCTCATTGTTTTATGGATCAATATGACCTTTTTCATTATTTGCTGTCATTTTAGTAGAGTTAGCAAGAGAAAGGAGGTAAACATGCACGTAAATCTGCCATGTTTAATGTATAGTATTTTTTTACTTTATAAATTTTCATTATAAAAAGATATCTCAGATTGCTGTTGGAGAATGGAATTGGTACAGTGGGGCAAAGTAGGAGCACAGATGCCAGTTACTACAAGGGTCCAGGCGGTGTCTTAGAAAGGGTCATGGCAATGGAATGGAAAGAAGGGAAGGATACACTATATGCCATGGAGGCAAAACTGACAGGACTTGGTGTACCATGTGTGCGCATGCGCGTACACACGCTTGGACAGGGAGAATGTGAGGAATCAAGATGGCTGGCTTTTAGTTCTGGGTGAATGCTGTTGCCTTATATTGTGATATAGGAAAGATTGGAGGAGAGTTGGGCTTTTGGGGATCACAAGTTCTGTTTTCTACACATTTAGCTCGAGATTCCTGAGACATCTAGGTAGAGAAGTTAAGTGGGCATTTGCATAAGCAAAATTAGAGTTCAGAGACGTTTAAGATGGAGACGAAAAATTTGGCAGTTGTCACTAATGGTTGAGAACATCAAAGTAGAAAATGTGGTGAGAGAAAAGAAGAGGGCCTAGGAGACCCTGACGAATTCTCAACATTCCTCCAAGGAGAGGCCAGAGACGTGTCCCAGTGCAACGGGGTGAAGTGTGCTCCGTGGCACACTTGCCGAGGCTGTTGACTGCACACTCGAAAAAAAGCATTCTGTGCCAGTGGATGGGAATGTAAAGGTGAACGTAGTACCTGATAGGTTCTTCTTGTCCTAGTATGGCAGGCTGTTTCCTCCTTCAGAATATTTATTTTTATTTTTATTTTTCTGTCACTTGCTGGACATCATTTTGTATACATCCTAAGCATGTACAGAAGTGATGCCCAGCATATAACAGGCATTTAATAAATACTTGTTGAATGAGTGTCCACCCCTCTGTCCCTACCCCCCATACAAGTAGTAGTGCATGATCACCTTTAGGTGAATACACTTCAGGGGATATGAGCTTTTGTTGATTTACCTCTCTCTACCAAAATCATTTCTTGTAAATTTCTCCCCCCCCAAAAAAAATAATAATAATTTTCTTTTACAAATTACATGAGAACTCATTGAGCATAGCGATTTTATGATTTATTTTATACTTGGCATGTGAGGTTCCTGTCGCTACAGAAATCTGGTCTGGAACAAATAGTATTTCTCCAGGTACTTAATACATTGTAGATATTTGGCTCAGAAAAACATTTGAATGTCTTTCTGTGTGAGACCTTGTGCTGTAGGCACTAGGACACAGTCATGAAAAGATGGAGCATGGTCTATGTTCTCATGGGATTTTGGACAGTAAACTTGATGTTTTGGAATTCTGCAACATCATCGTTCACATATGTTAACTTTATTTTTCATCTTCTTTAGAGCATTTGATGATTTCAGTTGCTTTCCCAGATGTGCCCAACTGTTCATTTATGTGTTTGATGTTTAAGGGACAAGCTTTGGAGCCCAAACAGGATGTTTTCCAAGGACAAGAAGCAGCAGTAATGATGGATCAGAAGACAGCATTATATGGGCAGACATACCCCACACAAGGGCCTCCTATGCAAGGAGGCTTTAATCTTCAGGGACAATCACCATCTTTTAACTCTATGATGAACCAGATGAACCAGCAAGGCAGTTTTCCTCTCCAGGGAATGCATCCTCGGGCCAACATCATGAGACCGCGTACAAACACCCCCAAGCAACTTAGAATGCAGCTTCAGCAGAGGCTGCAGGGCCAGCAGGTACCCAGTCATGTGCTCTGCCTTGGCCAGAAGCACTTTATCTTGGGCCTCCTCCTCTTCGTTTTCAGACTATCTTCTTCAAAGCTCTTGCCACAGCTCTCCATCCCTTGACAACTAAAGAAATCTGTCTTGTTTTCACTTCTGTGTAACATTTCATTTGTATGGATAGTTTCCTGTTAGGGGGTGGTGTGCTTGAATTGAATACCTTTCTATAAGAATATCGCGTTGTACAGGTTATAAAGTAAAAAATGTCCAAGAGGCTTGCTCTTGGGGGAGAAAAGTGTTTCTCGATGCCTTCATAGTACTAGAGGCAGAGAATTTCTATTTTAAAAAAAGTCCTTAATAGTAATAACCAAATATTTAAACCTTATTGATTGCAGCATTCTTTTTATGGAACCTCTCCTTTCTAGATGTTTTAGAAAACTTGAGCTCTTCTAATATGCCAAGATAAAACATTTTTTTTCATTGTTTCCTTAATCCCCCCAACATCTTTTAAAACCTAATTGTTTGCATCTTGGGTGTGCTTTTATTAAACGTGGCATAACTGAACCATATAAGCAGATGAGTGAGTGAGTTTAGAATCCAGTGAGCCAGAGATGCTTCTAGTGTATGAATATTCCTAAAAATCAGTTCAGGTTCGCAAGAAAGCAGTGTTAATGTGTTCATGGTATCATTTTACTTTTTGCCATTTCCTCCCAATAAAATTTACCTAGGAAAAGGTAACAGAAGAAGAGGTAGTTTATTCAGTGTTATTCTGATCAGGTTAAAGCTATTTCCCCAATGGCCTAATCCCAGAGAAAATCTGATTTTACATATCCTTTGAATTCCCTTTGGAGATATTCTTTAGGCTGCAGAATTGCACTTTTACTCTTGATGCCAAACAGTAAAGCTTCATACGTAAAGCTTGCTAGTCAAGAACTTTTCAGCATGCACCTTTTCGAAGTGTGAAAGAGTACCAGTTCAGCTTAGATTTGACTTAACCAGATTCATGGGTTTGGAGATACGTGCATGACCTCACTGGGTGGTGCTGAGGGTTGGAAGGCTGTTTTGGGCTCATTAACATGTTTTGTTTGCATTCTGACCAACCTGTCTCTCCTCAGTTTTTGAATCAGAGCCGGCAGGCACTTGAAATGAAAATGGAAAACCCCACTGCTGGTGGAGCTGCAGTGATGAGGCCCATCATGCAGCCCCAGGTGAACTCCCAGGTGAGGATGACAAGTTTCTGCATGTTCATGTTTACTGTCCTGGCCCGTGGTTGGCTCTCAGTCAATGTTTGTCAAATAAGGTAATAACCAAGTTCCTTGTGTAAGAAACCATCCCGCGGTCCCATCACACTTTTCCTCTTTCATTCTTCTCTCTTACTGGTGACTAGAAAGAATCAGAGGAGAGGATCTTTTATAAATGCCACTAATTCATGTTTTCAAAATTAAGTCCCTTTGCAGTCAATTGCTGTACTGTGACAATAGCTATCACTTACTCTTTAAGATAATAAATCCGTAAACTTTGCTCTCTTTCTGGATTATGAAACCACATGTTCATTGGGTAAAATTTGAAATTATTACTATTATAATGAGGAAAATAAAACATCATCCTATTCTCAATAATAACCTCTCAGATGACCTGGTTCCCTTAGTGGGAGAGATTAAAGTTTTCTCTGCCTTCAGTCCGAGGTGGAGACTGTATTAAGATATTTTGTTAACGTGCATGAGACAGATGATAATGTGGAAAGTCCTTTACTGTAGTCTAAAATATTGTTCATAGTTACTAAAAACAGAGATGCCCAATTTTCATGGTCTTAGGCCCACTCGGAGGTACTAATAGCTATATTTTCTCGACAATCAGACATTCTGTATAAGCTAAGCTAGGATGCCTTCCGAAAAGATAAAAGTTTGCTTTTTGGAGATGCTCTCCCAGCTGGTAGAGCACGGGTCAACTTCCTTGTTCAGTACTTTGATCATGTCCCCTCCTTAACCTCCAGACCTTCTGGGGTGGATTTTTTCTGAGTATAACTCCGTTCTTTTTTTTTTTTGCTTCTCTTCTTGTTTCACTATCCCCGCCTTCATCTTGTAGTTTGATTTCATAGTTTCTGAAAAGTTTGTCCTAAAATTCTACTCCTAAATGTTCTGTCACTATTTAAAGCTTGACAGCTGTCTGCTTTCATCTCCCAAATAATTTCTAGGTCCCTATTCTGAAATCTCTACCCCTCTACTCCCCGCCAATAGCCCGAAAGCCTTTACCATAATGACAATTGTACATTGTTTTCTTTTTTTGTAATTACAAAGAAGAGCATTGCGTGTTTTTTCTTTCTGATACCTAATGTATTATGAGTCCTGCATGCATGACATTGGCTGGTTCTTGCTATATGTGTGTAATTGCATTCCTTTTTGGGCATTAGCAGGGTTTTCTTAATGCCCAGATGGTCGCCCAGCGCAGCCGAGAGCTGCTGAGTCATCACTTCCGACAGCAGAGGATGGCGATGATGATGCAGCAGCAGCAGCAGCAGCAACAGCAGCAGCAACAGCAGCAGCAGCAGCAACAACAAACTCAGGCCTTCAGCCCACCCCCTAACGTGACCGCTTCCCCCAGCATGGATGGGGTTTTGGCAGGGCCTGCGATGCCACAGGGTCCACCCCAGCAGTTTCCATATCCACCAAATTATGGTAAATTTAACAGTGCAAATGTCTGCCTCAAAGTAATATTACTAAGGACCCAAGATTTACTAGATCTGCTGCATATTAAAAAACAAATACTGTTCACTCTTATGTCACAAGAAAAATGAAATTAACAAAAATGTCAACTTCAGTGCACAGGTAATTGAGATTGAGGTAGATGGTTTATCATGGTTTTTTTAGGTCTTGTTTTTTCAGCTCCCCACATCTTAATTTGGACAAAAGACTACCAGTGGGGCTCCCCACCCCCCAAGTTAGAGGAATGTATTTTGTGGGCTTTTGAGTTCCTTTTCTTGGTGACTGAGACATTTATTAAAATAACGCATATACCTCTTGGGGGTACAGGTACCTATTGGGAGGATTACATTATAGGATGCATCTCTGCCAGCGGGGGACGATAATTCTGTCCTTTAAAGAGGGTTGGAGAGATGTGAGTAGCGGGATATGGAGTCCCTTTTATACAGAAAGCTCATTGAAGTAGTTACTGTTCAAGTGATCTAGACAGTACTTTTCTGTAATAAGCGTGTTACTCTAGTTGGCATCTTGGTGAGAAGCAAGAATAACCGGCAGGCAGCATCCTGGAGCACTCTGTATCTTAGACTTCTCATCTTCCCCTGCTTTTAAAAAAGAAGGTAAAATTACTACAGAAAGCTGATATTCAAAGGACGTAGTGTTTGGGCATTACAATTTTTCCTTTTCCTTTATTTTTAAAGGGATGGGACAACAACCAGATCCAGCCTTTGTTCGAGTGTCTAGTCCTTCTAATGCCATGATGGCATCAAGAATGGGGCCCTCCCAGAATCCCATGATGCAGCACCCGCAGCCTGCACCTATGTATCAGTCCTCGGAAATGAAGGGCTGGCCCTCAGGGAACCTGGCCAGGAACAGGTGAAGAACAGGGACTTTAAAAGTCATTCACGTTCTAGTGCCAAAAGTTTTAAGAAATTAATCTCTGCATTTTTCACTCAAGCCTGTTTGGATGGAGAGATGAAAAGGCCTGGGTTCATATTTGAAAAAGTATTACTCGGCTCATCCGTTTTGAGAACCCTCCCTACAGTGCATGTTTCCGTGGGGGTATTGAGTATGGACGGCAGTGAACAATGGAAGGCAGGCCATCAGGGAGTTTGCCCTCTCAGGTTCTCTGCTTAAGTAAAATGACTTTTGGCAAAATCGTGGTAGTCTGTGTGTATGTCCTGTGTTCCCGTAGTGACCCAGCTGATTTCACATTTCCTTTACAGCTCCTTTTCCCAGCAGCAGTTTGCCCACCAGGGGAATCCTGCAGCATACAGTATGGTGCACATGAATGGCAGCAGTGGTCCCATGGGACAGATGAACATGAACTCCATGCCCATGTCTGGCATGCCCATGGGCCCCGATCAGGTACGGGGGTCTATTCCTTTTTCAAAAACGTTTTTCTTGTTCTGTGGAGAGAACCAAAGCCTCAACTGTAATCTAAAGGTCCTAAGTAGATTTTTAACTTGAATGTAAAATTTAAAAATAGTCATTGAAAAAACTCTTGGTTTGAAGGCATTGGGCCATTAGGTACTTTTGGTAATTTGAGATTTAAGGAATCTGAATCAGTCAGCCAGAGCCATGTTGCAAGACATCAGTATAGACTTGTGGATTCTTTTCGCTTGTACAAAAGCATGTTTAACTCATGTTTCTTCTGGTTGCTAACAGAAATACTGCTGACATCTCTATACCAGGACCTCCAAGGAAATCACTGTTCAAATGACACTGCACTAGGGTTATCGGGAGTACAGGATCGTGGTCGTAGGCACCCAGCTTTGAAGAAAGGACCAGCTCTGATCTCCATCAAGGGTATTCCAACTGATGTCATTTGAGTAGGACTGGATTTTAAGCGGATATTTACCTTTTTTCCCCTCCTCCTGTCTATCACGGCGTTCAAAACAAATATTTTTGGCATTCTGCCTCTTAGGGATGTGATTCTGGAGTTAATGGAGTGTTACTGATCTCAAAACTCTCCTGTGTCCTGTCTTTCTGCCTGGCTATTCTATCTTTCAAATAAATGTAGGTGGGCCAGAGAGCATTGGAGAAAACGTGAGATTAGAGTGTCTGGTTTCTCTAGTTGCAGTATTGGAGGAAGAGCACAGCCCCAGCCTTCATCCGTCTTTTACTACCAGGTGGTTCTGTGCCATGGGCTTGGCGTTTCTAGTTCTCATCCTTTAATGATAGTGTGAAGTTGCTCCAACCCTGTTCTTGATTGTCCTAGGCTTTAGCTAGGGTTTCCATTTGCCCCTGACTTTGTCATACTTCACCTCCAGGAATTATCCTTGATGTCAAATGGCCTTGCAGAAGGGAATGTGAGTTGACAGTATTTAATCGCAGCAGTAGCAATTTTTCATATGCTAATGTGCAGCCGAGTGCACTTTATTTAAAAAGTAATGGAGAAATGCAATATTCTAGAGGTCTTGAGGAATGGTGAACCACATTCCTGGTTTTTGTCTAATCTGTTGGACAAGAACTGATTTTTTTGTTGTTGAAAGTACTGGTGTCACCCTTTGCCTATATGGTAGAGCAATAATGCTTTTTGAGAATAAATTGCAGAAAACCCAAGGCCTGGTACTGCATTCTGAATCAGAATTTCGCAGTGTTTCTGTGAATAGATTTTCTTTTGTAAATATAACCTTTAAGATATTATATTATGTAAAATATGTATATACCTTTTTTTGTAGGTCACAACAACTCATTTTTACAGAGTTTGTGAAGCTAAATATTTAACATTGTTGATTTCAGTAAGCTCAGAGTGGTGAGGTTACAAACAGAAGAGACAGCCCCTGAATTTTGTGGCCTGGCGGAGGGGACAGCAGTCCAAAGCTTTTCCTTCCCTCCAGCCTTAGATGCCTCGCTCTTTTCAGTCTCTCAGTCTAAAAGCTTTTTAAAGAGATCATTTGTTTAGATGTAAGCATTTAATTTTTTTAAAATTCTTCTAACGGAACTAAGCACTTTGTTAATTTTGGGGGAAAGAATAGACACGGGGGAATAAACTTTTACAAAAAGGTATCAAGAATTTAAAAAGATCAAGCAATTTGATTTAAAAAAATCTTGGATTTTAAGCAGTCCATAAATTAATAGCAATTTCATTTTTTTTTTTTTTAAATTGAATATGCCATCTTTTATTCCATTTGAGGATTGAGCTAAGGTTTGGGTTGCTGGGATCTGAATCCCACATGGAGCTCTCAGGAGTAGAGTCTTTGATGTGTGGTTCCTGGTGTCTGCTCAGCTGTCTTGTCGTTCCGCTAATGGGATGTTTTCCTGAGATTAGGGATGATGTTACGATTATTTCTTAAGGACTCAGTCTCCAGAAAAGTCAGCTGTGCGTGATTCAGAGTTGCAGCCTGAGCACTTTTCACTCCCTCCCTCCGCCACCCCCTGCCCTGTTCTGCCGTTGCTATTCCCCGACACTTGTTATGATCAGTTGGGAATAGGGGGAAAAAAATCAAGGTTAATCCCTGTATCTGGTTTATTAGGTTCAAACAATTGAATGAAATTGGTTTTTTGGAATATCTTTCAAATGTCTCTGCTAGCCTTGGTGTCATTTCCTAGCAATAACTGAGAGCCAGTTAATCTTTTTAACATATATTTAATCTTTCTAGGTGTCTCTGAAGGTAAGATCATTTAATTTCTTTGACTTGCTTATGAATAAGTGAAACCTGTATTTCTGGAACTGCCACTAGAGTGAATTTGAGTCTGACACTCCCCTCCAGCCCCCTGCCCAGTAAAAGAGAAATGATTGTAAATCCATTAACTTCCATCATGGTGGCCTGTACGTTTCCGATAACACATCCTCCTCTCTGGAGACAGGCGCAGCTGAGTAAGAGTCTCCGTCTTTTTAGACACAGTTGTTTTAGGTGTATCTGAACCTTTCTTGTTTTAAGTCATGCGTGCGTGGGGAGAAACAGAATGGTGCTCTTACCTTTCTTTAAAAAAAAAGATGATTCTTTTCCTTAGTCTTGACTCCAGGCTAACTGGAAGGCAGCACCCCCTTTTTATATGAAAAAAATGAAGTTTATTATAAGTTTTTATATTTTTTACTTGTTCATTTTCTTGGTGCCAACTTAAGGTTTTGATTTTCTTTTAATAGATGCAGTCTTTGAAATAATTTGTTGTTTTTAACCTTTATTGCCCTTTTTTGGATAATTCTCTTTGTACTTCTGCTGCCTACCTCTCCTCAGTCCCTCCCCCCGCCCTTTTTTAAACCTTGGTCTCTGTTAGGTGAACATTATAAGTAATCTTTTCATCTGCTTTTAGAATGTGAGGTATTTCCAGTACACCTACTTTTTTGCTGAATCCAAAGATATATAAATATATATATTTTTAAAGATCAAAGTGATATAAAGGAGATACATGTTTCTTCCTTTAAAAAAACAATTCATTGTTAATGTTCATATTAATGATGCCACTTTTCTAAACTGTGCATCTTGATGGAAAGGTGTAAATATCAATCAACAGGACTGCTTAGTAATCAGTATTTAAAACCTAAGGTGTTGGGGTATATAGGGGCGGGGTGCTATAGAACATGATTGGCTCGCTGTCCTAGAAGTTCTTTGATTCAGAGATAGATGCAGCTGGAAAGTAACAGAATGGAGTGCCAGTTATTCATATGCCTGTCCAGTTACCCTTTTTATTTGCAGAAGCCATGAGTTTTATTCACAAGTGGGAAGTTTGTAGGAGCAAAACCTCTAGGATAGGTGTGTTTTCCTCCTGCTGTAGAGGAGCGAGAGCTGCTGTTTGGCTCCAGGGCAGACTGTTTAATAACGAGCAGGGCGTTCTTTCTTTTTCCACCAGATGGAATTTCGAAGATGGAAATGTCATTCTGAGAGCAATATTTAAATTCTCAGGAACTGACTTACAGTATTGGGAATGAATTTAATTTCAATCAAGTTTACATTAAATGTTGCTTTTCAAAAATCTAAATCATTCTTTACACTGCAAAGAATCCAAACCACATGGGATAACTTATGAGATTGTTGTGTGATAAGCTATGACTGTTTTGCTGATTGTTTTGGGTGTCGTTGTAAATAAAGGTTTCTATTTAAAATTGAAGTCTAAGAGCTTGCTTTATTAAGAAAAACCTATTAAGGGCAAAAAGGTTAAGGAATCCTATTTCAAATAATGGTAACAATTTTTGTGAGGTTAAAAATCTTTTTCTTCCTAAATGCCTTTTATTGTCTGCAGCAATAGAAACAGCAAAATTGGAGATTATACTGTGCAAACAGGTTCCAAAAAGAAGTTTGAAAAGCGTGGAACTGTTCTTAAAAAAGGTGAGTGCTTAGGGATCATCTCCACCAGCTGACGAGAAATGAGTTGACCACTGATAGCTGAAGTTCTTCCTACTTCTCCCATTCTAGCAGCTGCCTTGACTCGGTTAGACTACCTGGGGCACACAGGGTTAGTTAAAGTGAATTGTTTTGCAGTTGATTAATACTTTTTAAAGTGAGGTCCTAAAGCTGGTGTAATGTGAGACTTGCCTGTGAGGTCCCTGAAATATGGTAAATTTTAGTCATTTACAACCATCTGTTCCCTTTTTAAGAAAAACCCCTAAGTCCCAGGTATTTCCTTCCAGGAAGATACTGACTGGTAGTGTCTTATGATTTTTTTTTAAAAAACCAAATACACCAAAAAATGCCCAAGAATGGCCTTTTACAAAATGTCAAAGGTTAGCTCAAGCCAACTGTTGGTCATTGGCTGGGGTTTTGAACATCGTATGACAATAGACTACAAAATTTCTTTACAAATACAATTTCATTAAAACTTGGGACATACACCAACTTCAGTACTTTAAAAAACATTAGTTCTGGGACAGATAACAAAGGAATGGTGGGGGACATGGTCTCTGGTCAGGAATGGAAATGCCCACAGCTGCAAGCGTTTACTGACACCACCGCGCTTGAAAACGCCTACGCTGGCCACACGTGTCGCGTATGTACAGGGAAGTCGGTTTCCTCCGAGGCGACCAGGGTTAGCGTACTAGATGAGCATCACCCGCTTCGTGCTGCTGGCTCACTGTCAACGGCACCATTCCCAGCACCAGCACGTCGCTTCTGTCGTGCTTCTAGGTTCCTCCTTGACGGACAAAAGGATTCCAGTGACTCTGCACTATTGGGTGAAATTTCTGAGAAAAATCTCTGAGTTCTTTTCTCCCTGTGAGCCTCTCAGCGAGGGTTAGTGGTGACTTCTTGATACGAAAATGCATTTTGTGCAGCTGGTGCGGTATAATCCAAAGCGAAAGCAGGGGCAAAAAATGGACGTCCTGAAGTGTCACTGCTCCTGGCGGTTCTCTTCCACGATCTGCCGTGTCGGCCGAACGCAAGTTCTCTGTGTCTCCTGGCTAACAGCATAGGTCCGCTTGAAATCATACGTGGGTTTCGTTGTCTGTACAGTCACGTGACGCCTTTGTTTTGGCAGTCCTCCTCGGGCCGCTTAACCTTCCCATCCTTCCCACAGTTGTCCCCTGCAGGACAAAGCAAACTCGTCTTAGTGTTTACCATGCCGCTTATGGATTGCATTCAGCCCTACAGCTGAGTAAGCTTTGCTTCAAGGATGTGGCTGCTGAGAAGGAATCTTTCTAGGTCCCCGAGAAAGGGCTTGCCACCACCTAATCGTTAGATTTTCAGTTGTTGGCGTATACACTCAGTGGCTGGCAAAGATGGCATTCAAAGAGTGGGGTAGACCAGTGGCCAAAGAGAATGTGAGATGTAAAGATTGTGTGCCTTAATTCTGGTTGCACCAAAGAAATGCTTAGCTGGCCCTTTATTAAATGGTCCTGTTAGAGCTGCAGAGGTTCAGATGCACATAAAGAAATGAGTAGGCCAGAGGTTGCACATGGCGGCTGGCTTGCTAAGAGTTTTTGTTTGTGTGGTAACTTAATGTCACCACTTTCAAACACATTTTGAATTTTCAGATACACCTGATGAATTAGAGGATTCAAATTGTATTGCATTCTTGCCGTTTCCTTTAGACTAGAGGTGACCTTTTTAGGTTGCTGCGGCTCCCTGCCAGCCTCCAGTGACACTGGACAGAATTTGCAGCATGGACAGAGTGTGCAGACCGTTTAATGAGGCCAACCTGCTGCTGCCGTTTTGGCCCAGGTAGTACTTCTGCAGCCACAGCCTTCAAGATGTTCAGCAATTATAACATCTGAATGCTTCTCAACCCCTGAGTAAAGTAATACGTTGTGTTTACCAGGCACAGGTTATTGTGTAGATAACAGTATATATTAGACAAAGTATTAATCTAAAACATGAAATGTATTCAAGTATGTTACTTCACAGGAAAGACTACTGCTTCCCTTGTCATCATGAGAACAGATGAGGGTAATAAACAAGAATTGGCATGCATGTAGAATAGCCTTGGCAAGGTGAAGCAAGCCAGAACCAGCTCCCTATGTGTAAACTGGTTCCTTAACTCACAGTGATTTGGAAGAAGGTCTTTTCATTTCTGGCCACTTTCGACGCTGAAACTGCCTGTTTTCAAGTGTCAAAAGGAGAATGAGCGTTAACCATCACCAAAAAAGAAAAAGTTACCCCCAAAGAATAATACAAAGGTCTCTTAGGTGACACCTATCACTGGTGGGCAGGCCGGAGAATGGAGAGTGTCTCAACATAACAGGTGCAGCCTCTGTGAGGTTGCAGTAAGGGGTGGCATAGATACGAGACTGCTCTCAGGCTTTAAAAACAAAACCAAATACCTGTATTGCTCATAGCTTCCTCCATCTTTAAGTCCTAAATGAGAAATGAACAAAATAAACATAATTTAGCATAAATAATGACGGACTTTATAACTTTTTCTTTTTTAAGTGCCTTTGGCATTTTGTCACAAACCCATGGCGTTGATAGTGTTCCCTACGCGGGTAGAGTGGACTGAATTAAGAGGTGAGCCTTGCCCTAAGGTAACCTTATGGATTGTAGTGTCATGTTATTGATTTTAGGCCTCTGATGCATTCATTCAACACTGACCTTGGTCATGGTTGGGGAGGAAGATATGGGCATAAACACCTGTGCTACAGAGGACAGAAAGCCAAGGGCCCTGAGAAAGGCGGGGGGTGGGGTGAGGGGGAGGCGGGACACGCCGTCTCTCGCTCTTGGCAAGTTTCTTAGAGGATAGGGCAGTATGACCAAGTGCATGGGCTTTAGAGTCAGCTGACCTGGTCACTTTACTCATCCATAAAATGAGGATAAACAGATGTACCTCAGAGGGTTGTCACAAGGATTATCAGTTAATGCATATAAACACTTAGCACAGTGGCTGGCACATAGTTTAGGTGCCATCGCTTATCATAAAAGCAGCACTTGGTGGATGTGAGGAAGGCGATAATTCAGCCACTGGAGAGAATTCACCAACTCCTGGTGACTCAGGCTTCACTCTTCGGACTAGATGTGACCTAAACACCTTCCCGTGGTACCTTGGTCTCCATAGGCCCCACATGAGGGCGCCTACTCACCCAGGTCCATGTTTCGGGTCCGGGGGTTACACTGCTTGTAACCCTTGCAACTCCTCAGCTCCATGAGCTGCACGTGTAGCTGATTGAGGACATCCCTGTCCAGTGTATTCACTGCATTCATCAGCTGGTTGGAAGAAAGGTAGGTTATCATCAAGGTGAGCGTAGGGAACCCCACCCTCTGCTGCCAACAAGGGGCGGACTTCGGGCAGGCTGGGAGTGGAAGGCGCTGTGGGATGGTCAGCTCTACTTCTGCAAAATCTAGAGTTTGGAACAGTTAGGAAGACCTTTGTCTCTAACCTCACCACACACTCTCTTCGTGAGTGAAAAGCCACGAGAAAAACCATCTCTGTGTACTTAACATTGAAATCCTGGAGTCACTGGTCAGGAAATTGACCAAGCCTGGGAAGAAGCCCTTCCAAGCCCCAGTTGTCATGCACAGTCCCGCAGTTCCTCTTGATTGGAAAGCAGCCATTTGGTGAAGGGATGGGGAGGGGCCCAGGGCGGTGCCTAGTCTGGGAGCTGCTGGTGACTGAGCTCTATGTGCTCTGCCACCCGCTTTTGTAGAACATGGGGATGATCTACCTAAGGAGAAAGACTGGCAGGCAGCCTTTAGGATAATTAAAGCAAAACAAAAACAAAAGACCATAGAGTTGCTGGCATTTGAAAATCAGAGTTCAAAAATCTGATTTCTGCCTTTTCTTGAAACACTGGAGACTGGACAGTGCCAGGCCCACCCTACGCGCAGCTGTGGTGCTCAGTGACCATCTGTTTTAGATGCGACGTGTGTGCCACTCGGCCAGAGACTGGCTCCTTTTTGTCTTACGTGTTCTGGGCCAGTTCGGTCACGTGTGTTCCGATGACTGAGCACAGGGAAGCAGGCAGGAAGTGCTGCAGCCTGTTAGCCGTTGTCCCTGCAGGCACCTGAGTGCGCAGGGTTTGGCCTGACCCCTGAAGCTCTGGTCTCCCCGAGTTCCCACCCAGCCTGCTCAGATGCTGCCAGGCGCCTAACGTGGAGGGAAGAGGCTGCAGGATCTGCACTGCACACACAGGAAATGGAGGCAGAGAAGGGCTGACTGCACCTGGAGTCCTGGTGTTCCCGGAGGCTTCACAAGTCACTTCTGCTGTCTTAGGGACTCAGTGGAACTTGGAAAATTTATTGCTTCCTCACGGGGGGCCTAACTGGCAGCCCCGGTGTGCCCCACGCCCCCCTTTCCCCAGCTAGGGTTGTTTGTACCTGGTAGGGGTCCGTGTTGAGATCAAAGTACTCGAGGAAGCCAGTTGCAAATTCGCAGAAGAGGAAATTGTGCGTCTCGTTGATTGTCCTCATGCACCAGTACGTGTTGTTGTTGGCGCTGGTGCAGGCACAGAAGGGCCCCACTGCCCAGGGAAGAGAGGACACGCCCTGAGTGCCCCCAGGAAGAAACCCGGTCTGCAGACAGGAGTTCCTGTCCCAATGTCCCCACCCCCACCCTGTCCCTGGTGGGAGCAGTCGTTGACCTCTGACATTGGGAAACCTGTTCTCAGCCCTGCAGGGTCTGGGAGGGAACCGCTCAGGCTGGGGGTGGGGGTGGGCCCCTGGGAGGTCCTGGAGAAGCCCCTCCTGCCCCGGTGGACGGGCTCACGTGTCCAGAGCGGGGCCGTCTGCCAGTGCTGGTTGTCGTGGGTGAAGCACGTGAGGCCCGGCATGCTGCACGTGTCGTTGTTCTGCAGCCGCTTCAGCAGCTTCCGGAGTTTCTTCTTGCGCTTCTGCTCCCGCAACAGCCACACCCGGTCCTTCTCCTGCAGCCCCTTCCTGCGGGCACACAGGGCCACACCCCTCACACCTCCCTCAGGCCCCCACCTTGGAGCCTCCTAGGGGTCACTGACCCTGCACCTCTGCCCCTTCTGCCCAGAGAGCTGTGGGCACAGCATCAGGGGGTCCCCAAAGGGAAGGACCTCTGCCCAAGCCCCACTGCAGGTCAGGGCAGCACAGCGGTGGAGAGAGCTAGGGGGCTGCCGGACTCCTGCTCACACCCATTCCCTCTGGCCTGTGTCCCGCCTGCCTGCCGGGTTGCAGTGATCCCCTCCAGCCACAGCGGGGCGCCGGGAGCCCTCAGTGATGATCTGGGAGTCAGACCTCTCTGCAAGGACTGCCTTGGACTTCTCCAGGCAAAGGCTGGGACTTCTTTTTCTGGTTGGTTTTAGCTGAAGGGAGGACAGCCTTCTGACATGGGTCTCTGCATCTGTCCCCTGGGCCAGAAGCTGCCCTTACCTGAAAGGATGCAGACTAGAGCCTTTGTGCTTGAGGCGGCCTTTGTGCTGGGCGTGGTAACTGCAACAGACCCCCAACCCCAGGTTTTAGAAACCGCAACTCTCATGGGTGGGTGCAGACTGCGTCTCCCTGGGACCCCTCTGAGGCAGTGCCATGGAGGGTACTGTCCCCAAGGTGGCCGCCCCCTGCCTGAAGGCCTTGGGCCAGATTCAGAAGGTCAGTGCAGATATTGGCCAAAACTGGAAGCTGGTTGTCCCCAACCTCCGCCCACCTCGTGCTCGGTCAGGGGCAGCCCTGGTGGAACCTAAGTTTTTCAATCCCTTTCTGGGAAGGCAGCAAAGACTCTACAGTTAAGCTGTCTGGTACAGTAGCCATATGTCACTATAACAATTCAAACTCCAAATGCAGTTCCCAGTTATACTGCCACATTTCAAGTACCCAATAGCCACACATGGTTGATGGCTACCATACTGGACAGCACAGAAATAGCCCATTTCCACTGTCACAGAATTACTTCTGGACAGGGGTTTCCTGAGCTGGTGACACGGACTTTGGGCCACATAGGCTAGTCCCGAAAGGGCCATCAGCAGAAACCCTTTTCCCGCCTGGGAATCAGCTCCACGGATCAAGAGCCTGGCCCTGTCGGCAGCACATAAACCCTGGGCGTCTGGCCGGCCGCGCGAGCGCTGGTAGCCCTGTGGCTGACAACGGGGACGTGACTTGTTACTGATTTTTTTTTTTTTCACCTTGGGGGAGCAGTCAGGGGTATAAAACCAATGAAAACAATGAAGGGAGTCACAGAGGGGTTGCTGTATCCCCGGGACGCGTTCTGCCCACCTCCAGGGGCCTTCCTGGGGTCCCTTTGCTAACTCCTCACCTGATTTTGTGACAGTCACATTCTTCTGGCCGTTTTTTCTTCAGGTGACCTCGGACCTCCCTCAGGTTCTTAATTTTGTTCTGCAGGGTTTCGATCTGAGGGAGAGAAGAGAGGAGGCCATGGAACTCTGGGGGGTCGGGTGAGAAGGGGGGGCTTAGTGGTGCCCCCAGCCAGTGCCCACATTTGGGAGTGCAGATGGGGTTCTTTGGTTTCACCTGAAGTAACCAGGCTCTAGCAAAGGAACTGCAAGCCAGTCTCCTCCTGTCCTGCCTGAGGACCCGCTGTGTCCACTGAGGACTTAAATGTCCCCATCTCCCCTGGGCTTGCTGAAAAGACTGTGCTGTGAACATCTTGTAAATCAGAAAGAGGTGCGATATGACACGCTGGCCGGCTGCGGACAGCTGCCTGATGCTGGGACTGACGCTCCTGCCCCTGGGCTGGGGTTCTGGGGCTCTGTAGGGGCCTCGCTTCCCTCCCCGTGTGGCTGGTGGCCCCGCCAAGCTTGTGGTGGCGAGAAACCGCTCCCTGCCCAGATTCCCGTCACCTCATGGTCAATGTGCAGCTTGTGGTCTTTCCAGGCCTGCAGGGACTTGTACAGGTCCAGGTCACACTGGACCGTGTCGTTCTCTAAGATGTAGCACCTGCTCGAGAGAAGGGATCATGTGTGGCTGTGAAGGCGTGAGGGGAACCCTGGCCAAGGGCCAAGCCCGCTCCCTTTACTCCGACCTCGTCTGGACTCTCACCGATGGGTGACTTTAATGGGGTTGGGGGCTGAGTAGTCCGGAAGGCCTCCAGTGCCACTGAAGTCCCCGCCGTCCTTGTCATCTTGGTCCTCGGGGGCTCCTGGCCAGCGCTGCTTGGTAAGGTTGCGCAGCTGGGGTGCGTCATCCAGACCTACGTGGTGTGTCTCACCATTCATCTCGATGGCCACGGAGCGGATGGAGCGGTTACGGGCGTAGTTGGCTTTGTACTCTGTGGGCGTCAGAGGGGTGGCTGGTGAGGAGGGCCTGGAAGCCTGATTGAATCAGTGGTCAGAAATCTCCCAACAAACAAACGTCCAGGACCAGATGGCTTCACTAGCGAATTCTACCAAACATTCAAAGAAGGATTAAGAACGATCAAACGTGTCCAAAAAATAGGAGGGACCGCTTCCAAATTCATTTTATGAGGCCAGTATTAATTACTCTGATACCAAAATCAGACAAGAACACTGCCAAAAAAAAAAAAAAAAAAAATTTTACAGGCCAATATCCCTGATGAAGAGTGTAAAAATCCTCAGCAAAATATGAGCAAACCAAATTCAACAATACATTAAAAGGATCATACATTGTGATCAAGTGGAATTTATTCCAGAGATGCAAAGATGGTTTAATATTTTCAAGTCAGTGGGATACACCCCATTAACAAAATGAAGGATAAAAATTACATGATCTCAATAGATGCAGAAAAAGCATCTGACGAAATCCAATATCCATTTATGACTGATAAGGGGTTAATATCTAAAATGTATAAAGACTCATACAACTCAATAGCAACAAACAATCTGATTAAAAAATGGGCAGAGGATCTGAACTGACATTTTTCCAAAGACACACAGATGCCCAACAGATAAATGAAAATGTCCTCAACATCACTGATCATCAGGGAAATGCAAATCAAAACCACAATGATAGCACCTCCCACTTGTCAGAATGGCCACTATTATTAAAAAGACAAGAAATAAGTGCCGGTGAAGATGTGGAGAAAAGGGAACCCCCCCTGTGCACTGCTGGTGGGAAAGCAAATTGGTGCAGCCACTAGGGAAAGCAGGATCGAGGTTTCTAAATAAATTAAAAATAGAGCCACCTTATGACCCAGCTATTCTACTCCTGGGTGTTTATCCAAAGAAAACGAAAACACAAATTTGAAGAGATACATGCACCCCTATGTTCACTGCAGTATTGTTTAGAATAGCAAAAACAGGGAAACAACCTGTGTCCATCGGCGGGTGAATGGATAAAGATGTGGTATAGATAATACATGAATTATTATGATTCAGCCATAAAAAGCAGGCAGTGTGGACAACATAATGGACCTCGAGGGCATGATGCTAAGTGAAATAAATCAGAGGAAGACAATTACCATGTGATCTCACTTATATGTGGAATCTTAAAAACAAAAACCCAGAAAAACAAACAAAAAATCCCTGAGCTCATACATATAGAGAACAGGTTGGTGGTTGCCAGAGGTTGGCGGGGGTGGGGGGGGGAGGAATGGGGAAAATGGGTCAAAGGTACAAACTTCCAACTGTAAAAGTCCTGGTGATGTAACGCATGGTAACTATACTTAATAACATTGCATTGCATATTTGAAAGTTGCTGAGAGTCCATCTCATCACAAAAAAATGTGTAACTACGGTGACAGATGTCAAACTGGACTTTGGTCATCATTTCACAGTATGTACATGTATTGAATCACTGTGTTGTACAACCGAAAACTAATGTTATGTATCAATTATACTGCAATAAAAAACCACCCTGAGCTCGTTAATTGGAGAAAAAAGTGCCAGGAAGCAAATTCTTCTGGATAAAAAGAGAGAGGCTTAGGGCGGTCGCTTAGCTTCTCCGAGTCTCAGCTTCCCCAGCAGTGAGCTGGATGCTCTCCACCAGGTGGGCAGCGAGACGGGGCAGAGAAATGCTTTTTCTAAGCTCAAGTCAGCTATTGTAAACTGAGGGTATGGAAGCAGAAATCAGAGCCTAGATTGCTCATATCTTCTATGGTATATCAAAAGACAAATTTGATCAAATTGCTAACATTAAGAAAAATGGGAGTGGGTAGTCACATGGGAGTGTAGATTTCCGGCTTCGGAAAATACAAAATGTGCCTGACTGGGTCTACAGACCTGCACGGCGGTAGGAGCTGATGCGTGGCGCTGTTAGACTTGGCAGTGTGTTCTCCAGTCTGCCACAGTCCCCACCACCCCTGTTTTAAACCTGCATTTCACTCAGGTCTGGCCCCAGCATGCATGGAGCCCTCAGCCTAAAAGTTCATCTTTTTAGAGGGGGCTTGGAGGCAGTCATGGCCCAGGTTTCTGTTGGGCTCAATGTGACCACCAGGTGGCGCCCAAGGCTTGAGGACTGGCTGGAAGCCGGCGGTGCGGGAGCCCCCCAGGAAGGGACTCCCGCTCTTGAATGGACCAGGCCTAGGGCTGCAGGGTCCAGTCTTGCTGCTCCACCTATTGGGGGCAGATACTGGCATCTTTCAATTCTCAGACTCCCTGTATCAGAGTTGATGGGCCGAAGGGCCCAGGTCCAGGAGAGGCATCGCTGCTTTGGCAAAGCCTCAGGCCTTTTCTGGCCTCGGGCAGCTTTCTCCTTGGCTTTTCTCCTGAGTCCAGTGTCCCTGAAGCCACAGGACGGGGCCCCTGAAACACTACGGAGCTGATCGCCCTGTGGGAACAAGTCACACCCGCCCAAGAGGCCATGTGACAGACCCACTGGGTTCTTTCTGCTGCTTTGTCTTGCTTGTTCGGGAGCCAGCTGCCACTTTCCACCCCCAGCCACAAACCCAGGGGTCCCCAACTCTTCGGTTCTCTGCGTGATTCTGTAAATAAGCTACTCTCATCCCTTTGCTGAGTCCATGCCTGCTTTCTCGCTGCAGTGACGGGACTGAGTAACTGAGACTGAGACAGTTTAGCCTGCAGAGCCTCAAATATTTACTCTCTGGCCCTTCGGAGAAGAGGTCAGCCAGCCGGTGTAAACCCTTCCCTGGACCGAAGCCACACCACTCACTCTCCTTGTCAGCCTAGTTGTCTTTGTTTCCAGGGTCCCAGAGGTGCCCTCCCTTCCACACGTAGTGGGAAGGGGGCTTCATAACCCATCGGCTGAGACGTCAGGCTCTAGGATCTGATTACACGGGTGCAAATTCTGAGCAAAGGCACAGCCACCACAGGCCGGGGAGCTGTGTTCTCAAGACGGTACCTGCTTTACAAGGCTCTTGAGAGGGTGCCATGAAACAGAACTGGTGAAGTTTTCAGCACCCGGTGTGGGCACCGAGCAGCTGCTCTGTGGTTAGGGACTCCGCAGCTGTCACCTGGCTCTCTCTTAAATGTCAACCAACCACCCATTCTAGAGCTGCCACTCTTTCTACTTGGTTACATCCCCGTTCATTTCCTCCATCCATTTTTCACCGAGGGAAGTGACCTTCCCATTTTGTTAACTAGCTTACACCTTGTCTCATCCACGAGGTCGGATCAACATCTCCCTCATTTGACTCTGCAGCCTTAGCTTCTGGCACCTGGGAGGACTCGAAGATTAAAAGAATAAACACCGGGCACTGCGCCCACGCCCAGTGTCCCCATCTCCTCCTCCTGGTCCCGGGGCTCTCCTCTGTTCCGGGTGGGCTGGCTCTGCCCGGCTCTCCTGGGCCACAGCCAGCAACCCAGTGGAGTGCAGCATGCCAGGGTCCAGGCGACCCCAGGCCTGGGCCTTTCAACCTCAAAACCAGTGACATTACGGGGCCGGATAGGCCTTTGAGGTGGGAGACGGACCTGTGCATCATAGGATGTTCAGCAGCATCCACAGTGTCTCCTCACTAGGTGCCACTAGCATCCCTAACCCCACACAATTACGACAGCCGGAAATGTCTCCTCATTGCCAAGCATCCTCTGGGGAACCCCCGTGCTCTAGGCTAGCTGCTGGAAAGGAGGGACAGAAAGCATCTCGCTGGCAGCCACCTGCAGGGGTAAGCATGTTGGGCCAGGAGACGGGGCTCCATCCCCACATGGGCTGTGTGACCCCGTCTTTCCTGTGTCATGAGGAGTAACCAACTGTGCTCCCAGGCGCTTGTACGGTGAACACAAAACGGGGCTTTGATGCTACTCCGTCCTCCGACGAAGCCAGGGGTTGAGATGAGCTTTGGCTAGTTAGGTGCCTTTTTCCTTCCTCTGAGCATTAATAGGAAAAGGAAAAAAAACTTCATTGAGACTCAAGTGTTCTAGTATTATTTAAAGCTTATCCTCTGTGCCATGTGTTGAAGCGAGGAGATGTTAGCTGTGTAATCCAATCTAGAAACCAATCATTTTATTTGCTAAAAAAGATTAGCTTGGTAGTTACAGCTCAGCTTGTGAGGGAATGAAATGGGGGCCGTCAGCTGGGAAGTGCTGTTTGCAGCAGGACAGACCCATCCGCTCCATAAGGAAGGTGTTTGTTCTCTGCTGAGGGACTGCGGGCCAGAGGGACCACGGGGAGACCTCAGAGCCGGCCAGTGGACCCCCAGGCCCTCATCAGGCTGCAAGGGACGATCATTCAGCCTTAAAAAGGAAAGGGGTTCTGTCATGCTACAACATGGATGAACCCTGAGGACACTGTGCTAAGTGAATCAAGCCAGGCACAAAAGACTAAATACTATGATTCCACTTAACGTGAGGTACTTGAGTAGTCAAATTCATTCAGCTGAACGGTGGTTGCAGAGGGTGGGGGAGGATGACGGGGTGTCACTGTTTAATGGCTGTAGAGTTTCAGTTTTGCAAGATAAAAAGTTCTGGAGACGGATGGTGATGATGGCTGCATGACAGCGTGAATGTACTTAATGTCACTGAACTCTACACTTAAAAACGGTTAAGATGGTGAACAGTAGTATATATATTTTGTGACAGGTAAAAAACAGAACTAAAATGTCTCACTGGGCTTTGGCTGTCCTTGAGTTAGAGGCGCGGAACAATGGGCAGCAGGGGAAATTGTCCAGCTCCAGAGGGGACACTTATGGCCAGCTGACCAGGTCTCACAGAGACCAAGTCCTAGCACCCAGCAGCCTGCTGGGCATTGTCAAAGCTCGGGAGCATTCTCACCTGAACGTCAGGCAGGGGTCATCCTTCCCCTGGGAAGCTGAGCTTGGAAGGGGGCCGTGACTAGCTCAGGGTGACGGCTGAGTCTCCCAGCCATATCTAGAGGACTTGGGCTCTCTACTCTCTGCTTGCTGGCTAACTGCCTGTGCTCTTTCCGCCCCTGCTGGGGGAGACACGTGAAGGCTCAGACAGCTTCTGCACTTGGGGTGGGCGGCTTTTCCCCACTCCCTAGTCTGTTCTCGTGATTTGCGGTAATTCTGTTCTATATCACTGTAAACATGAATTTGTGAACCATTGCTTCTAGGGGAAATACAGGGTGAGGTTCTTGTGAGCCTCCGGTCCCATAACCCTGTTTTGTGTGTGTTTCTGTGGAAAGACAGACGCCTCCTTGACTACATGCTGTCGGTCCATTAACACCGAAGTCATGGCCAACAGCTCCATCACTCACACGAGCTTATCTAACCCGCGTATCTCCCGCAGCTACGGCCTTCCCGCTGCAGGAACACCGCTCAGCACCTCGGCCCTGAGCGCGGGGGCTGTCTGAAACAGGAAGTCACTGGAAAAAGGACAAACGTGAGAAGCGTGACACTAAAGAGACGTGACGAGGACACCTGCGTAGAGGATGAAGCTGAGCCAAGGAGGCAGAGCGTCTCCTCGTTCAGCCTCGGCTGGGGCCATGCACGTTGGGCGACTCAAATATTTTTGCCGCTCTGCACGTGCCCACAAACGACCATGAGAGCACCTCGAGCAGTGGTTGGGTGGGGGAGGGGAGGTGGGGTGGGAAGGCTACAAATAAACTGCAGGGAGACAGTGAACTTGCAGATATGGACTCCGCGAATACTGAGGACCAGCGGTCGCAGCCTGTCCTGGCGGCCCCCTCCCTTCTCCTCACTGCCAGAGCCCGGCCAGCCTCGCGCAAGTCCCCGCGGCTCCGCGCGAGGGCTCAGGGCCAGGCTCCTACTGGTTTTCCTGCTTCTGCTCCTGCCCCGTGCCAGCCCGCTGACGTGGCAGCTGCCGGTGGGGAGGGGTGGGACCTTTGGAAACACAAATCTGACCCTGGCTCGACTCAAACCCTCTGGGGGCTCCCCGTGTCAGAGTGCGGAGCCCGCAGTGCAGCGTGATGGGCCCCTGGCTGGTCTCCGCCCGCTACCTTACTGCCCTTCGCAGCGCTTGGCACACTCAGACCCCCTGATCGTCTTCCCTCTTCGCTCCCGTCCCTTGTAGCCAGTGCAATGGGTGGATCGTCAGGGCTTTCACTGTGGCGCCAGCTCCCTGGCTGACTATTTGAACGAATGGGGCTCCACAGGCGTGAGCCCTCCCCTCCCAGGCTGCCACACTCACTCTTCTTGAAGAACTTTTTCCGGCGTCCAGGCAGGCTGAGCTGGTGGTCGCTGCCGTCACAGGTGCAGGCCTCGCTGCCCGGCCCGTAGTACTTGGGTACCAGGTTGGACAGGGCTCTGTCCCCAGGCCGCGCTGGGCCCTTGCACTTGTGCAGCTTCAATGTCCCCGTGGCGTCCTCCACACACTGCCACTTCTGCAAGACACGGTGAGGGCCTCAGGCGCCGAGGCTTGGCCGGCTGGCCCGTCCACTTCCCCCGCGGCTTCTGTCCACCCTGAGACTTCCCCTCCCTGCCCTGGTGGGGACACGGGCTCAAGGAGCTCCGTTCCCGGAACTATTCACTCAGTGACAGACAGACACCCGTCCACTGTGGGAGAAGCACAGAAAGGGAGTGAGGGGAACAGCGTGAGTCCCGGTCACGGGGAAGCACTGAGGCTGGAGAGCGTGGCTCCCACGTGGGACACGGCACTCCTAGAAGCCACAGCAAGAGCTACGACATGCAAACGGCACTCAGAGGCCGGCCCAGCCAGCGGGGCCATAACTGCATCCCGCAGTGGGTGGGCATCCAGGACAGGGATCCTGCAGGTCCTACAGCTGTAAGTCCAGGGGCCAGGGACTGATGTCTGCCCTGCTGGTCTAGGCCCCAAACCCCAAGTCCGGCACTCTGTTGGGCCATGTAGTATGCCCTGATAATCTGTCTGGACGTACAGATACCTCCCCTCGCCCCTCCCCTACCCTCTGGGGTGCGGGGGATTTGACAACAATTTCAGGGGGTAAAGGCCCCCCGGCCTCACTGGCTATTCCTTATAGTTCAGAACTGAAATTGAAACCACTTCTGGGCTCTCTGTACAAACCCACGGCCGAGCTCTCTCCAGAATGTCAGCTATAGGGGGGCCAGAAGGGCATCGAGGCTGTCGCCTCAGTGCCTGGAACAGTGTCTGGGACAGTGTCTGGAACAGTGCCAGGCAACAGAGGCACGCAGTGAATGCAGCTGCAATGGAGCAGCAAGACCCAAAGCTCTGCCCAGTGGCACAGACTGGCTGCTTCGCTGGCAGGATGGCCTCCACGGGGAGGGGCCTGGGGGTTACGAGCAAACGCTGGGCAGGGCACGCGGCCTGGAGGCTGGCTGGTCCCCATTCCTTGTCTAGTGATGGGATGGAGCTGCCCAGATGCAGCCTGTAAGAAACCCACCCAACTCGTGCCTCGGCCTTGGCAAGGTTTATTAATGAGAAATGGAATCCGAAGGCCCTGGTGCTGCTGCTTCTCATCTGAGAACCAGGCATGCACCTCCAGGCCCGAACCGCCGTGGATGAGCTCAAAGTTGCGACCCACAGGCTGGGGTGCACCTGCTGTGCCCCTTGAACCAGGCTAGGCCACCCCCGCCTGCCCCTCCTGCTCATCAGCCTTCCCCCGTCCCCTCCCCTGTTCCCCCTGCCTCCTGCTTGTGGCCCTTTCCAAGGCCCTGCCCCCTCCCTTCTCGCCAGGCCTTCCAGGCTTCAGAAAAGCCTAGTTCAGACTCCCTCGAACATCAGCCCATTTCTGCTATCTGTAAATGCTATTTGGATTATAATTTCTTTACTATTTCTCTTGAGATCAGTTCACTTTTTTAAACCTAAATTTATTTTAAAAGGCAATTTCCTATTCCTCCTATAAGTGTAAAGTCAGCCACGAGGAGGAGCCTATAGAAGTGAACACAATAAAAATACAGTTAGTATAAACGCTGTGCAGAGCTGTGCTGAGCCTTTGTTAAAGCGGGATCAGGAGCTGACGACCCTTGCATACCCAAAGACTTGTCCTCTGACATCACCAGGATCAAAGGCCGCTCAGAAAGGAACTGCTTTCTGAGTGTCACCTGTACCACCCGGCATCATCCTGGGTGTCACATGGGAGCAAAATACCACATTTTGGGGCCACTGGCCTCGCTGGCTCTGCTGGACTTGCTGGGCTGCAGTTGGGAGGGGCAGCCGCTGGGAGAGGAGGAAGGGCAGAGGGGCACCTGTCCCTGGCCCGGGGGCCCAGCCGCGCCTCCTCACCTGGCCCAGCTGCTCACACGCGGTCCGGTACTCGGCACGCTGGCACAGGTCTTTCACGCGCTGGTACTTGGGCAGGAAATTCTCCTCCTGGGCATCCACCTTGTCACTGTCCCTCTTGTGGAGCAGTTTGCTGTGGGGCAGACAGTGGGACACGGGGCTGGCCTCTCGGCTCGGCAGGAGCGGGTGGCCCACCTGTGAGGCAGACCCCACTCTACCCTGGTGTGGCACCTCCGTGGAGGATGCAGGTCCAGCCTGGCCACGTCTTCAAGAAATGGGAATTTAAAAAAGCTGCATGAGTCGATAATAAATTTAAAAACATTTAAGACGTTGTACAGGCAGCAGAAAACACGTGGCCCCCAGAGGCAAATTCTGCATCAACCGTAGGTACAAATTCTGTAGCACCGTGTGTCAGGAAGTGGTGGACCCAAGTTCCCAGCCACTGTCGGAAGGTCTGACAATGACAGCATTCTCCCTGCGGCCCGACAGTGAGGTCTCTAATAGCACGTGTGCAGGTGCGTCTGCCAGGAGCTTTCTGGGGTAGGGTGGTGGGGGTGGTGCCTGGGTGGCTCCTCGCGATCTGGCACTCACCCTCTCTCCACCAGGAAGGAGTCCCGCCAGACTCTCATCTTCTTTTTCAAGTGAAACCTAGGAAAAAAAGCACACCTTCGTCTTCTCATCAAGGGATGGTGCCCAGAGCCAGCACAGACCCCGGGGACCCAGGAGGAGACGGGGTGAGGGGCTGAGCTGAGCATGGGAAAGGCTTTGATGCCTACTCGGGTCTGGAGGCACATGGGGCAGAGATGACCTAGGTCGAAGTCGCACGTGGCCATGCGTGGAAGTCCAACAATGCCCGCCAGTGTTGAAGGAGACCGCTTCCTCTTAGGCCAGCCCTGGATGGAGTGGCTGTCCCGACTTCGGGTGAATTACATTGTGTTTTGGAGAAGATTTTTCTTCTTTGACCCTTTATAGTTGGATTTGTGTAATTTATGCATTTCATGCAATGTCACGCTGTCATTTCCATTTCCCAGATAGGGACTCAGGCTGGGAGAGGAAGCTTCCATCCTGCCCCTCACTCCCAGGTACTGTGGCTCCCAACCCAGCCCCCGCCCCCTAAACCTGCCATTTTATACCCTGATAGCTTATAAAATCTCAGTCGGGAGTGGGGGAGGGTCAACAGAAGCTGTCCCCCTCCTGGGCAGCCAGATGTGAAGGGACAGCGCCCACCAGGGCTGGACCTGCTGAGCTGCAGGACGTGCAAGCAAGAGGTTGCAGCACTCAGGGTCCTGGGGCCGTGGACCTAGTGGGCAGTTACAATGATGACCACCAGATGTCGCTCTTGCCACATCAGTGGCTACGTTTCCTTTTCTGTCCCCAGCAGGCTCAGCTCACCTTCCCATTTTGCCTGTGGTTTGCTCACCATCTCGGTTCCCTTCTCTGCCTCCAGGACACCTGGGAATGTGTTCCCATCACGCTATCGGGCATTAAAGGCACAGAGCATGGTGATCAGGGCAGCAGCCTCTAGTCTCGGGTCTGGACGCCGGAGTTGGGGCCCGACGTGCTGAGGGACCTCCGACAAATCACCTTACCTCTCTGGGGTTTGAGTCCCAAATTGGTAAAAGGGGACCATAACAAGCAATGCCTACCTCGCTGGGGTATCGTGAAGATCAACATGATAAAAATCCCCCGCAGAGTACTCAGAACAAGGCCTAGCTCACAGGAAGCGCTTCATCCGTGTTACCTCCTGTTCTTGCTATTTTGAGTTTTACACAAATTCCTCTCTCCCAGGGCAGGGAAGTGGTCCAGATGGGGGACCCCAGACCCACACGGTTTGGCCAAGTGTTCACGCAGGTGGGGGGCCCGGCGCTCCTTCCCTCCACTGCCTGCTTGGCTCCCCTCCTCACCGATTCACCGGCCGCTCCGTGTCCAGCAACTTGAGGATGGACTTCCCATCCATATCCGAGGGGATGTCCAGACCCGCGATGTCCAGGATGGTGGGGGCCAGGTCAATGTTGAGGACGATGTGGGGGTTCCTGGGGGCGGCAGGGAGAGTGGACTTGGCTCTGAGCGGTGGTGCCCAGCCTCCTTCACTTGGGAGAGGGGAGGCTGGGGGAATGGAGGCCAGCAGGGACTGAGGCCCCGAAGGTGCGGGAGCCGAGACCATGTCACCACCTCAGCCCTCAACGCTCCCCTCTGTGGCCCAGGTCAGCTGGACCCGCCCCTCCCCCATCCCTTACCTCTGTGCCCTGGACACACCCCAGCAGCCCCTGACCCCCCCCAGTCTGTGTGGTTGTTTCTTCTGCCAGGAATTCCCTCCCGGCTCCTCACTATCTGAACAAAGGGCACCCACCTTTAAGAGCCACCTCAGACCCCGAACCTTCCCCTGGACCCATCTCTGACCCTCTGAGGCAAACGCTGGCCCCCTTGCTGTCCCTGGCAGGCCAGGCACAGTCTGGCTTCAGGGCCTTTACCCTTGCTGTCCCCTCTGCCGGAAAGTTCTTCCTCCGATCCCCGGCACAGCCTCCTCCCTCCCCGCCGTAGCTCTTTGCTCAAGGAGCCTGTGGCAGACTACGGGGTCCTCTGATCCTCACCCTCTGGTGTTCACACCTTCCTGCGATCCGTCCCCTCGAGGTGGGGACAAACTAACAGAACTGGCAAAGGTGGCAGGACGTCACTCTGTGGTTACAGTACATGACGTACAACTCTGTCTTGCTAGCTGTGTCTCCCTCATCTGTTACGCTCCCCCGGCTGGCTTTCAAGAGGCAAGCTGCCATAAATGTCACCCGCAAGGACACTTGCTGGACAGTCCGGGAGGCAGGCTGTGTGAGTGCAGGTCCTCTGCATTTATCCCGTGGGCGGGGAAGTGGGGTACGTGAGCCAAGACAGTCCAGTGAGAGTCACCCCCAGACTCCTGTTCGAACCAGTTTGGTTTCCTAAGCTGGATGGCTGAACGTCATGGTGACTCTGCCACCGGGAGAGAGAGAGAAGCCTGCCTGAGCATGAAGCTGGTTCCAAAGAATCAGGGCTGAGATAAAAAAATGAGAGGGTCCTGATGTCGTCACGTGACTGCTGGATCCAGCCATGCCTGAAGCCAGGCTAGCCTTAGACTTTCCAGTTACTTTACTTGCTGCATTCCCTTTTATCTTACATGTCTTACCCAGTTTGAGGGCCATTTCTGCTTGCACCGATATTCTGTGTCTTCAGCTCCAAAGTGAACATCAGCACTCTCTCTTCTCTACTTGGGGTGTGGTTTTTGGTTCTAGGACCCAGATCGCAGACTCCGAGGCTGACCAAACCCACGATGTCAGTGCTTATACAGCCCTTAGTGGGTGAAATTCTGTTCACAGGGGTGGCTCAAGGTTTTGGAGCGGTAGTACAGAGTGGCAGACAGGAGCAGAGACTCCTGGCTTCAAATTTCAGCTCCTTCCCTTATGTGCCATGTGACCTCAGGCAGCTAAACCCCTCTGGGCCTCAGTTTCCTTAGGTATCAAATGCGGATAATAACAGCATCTACCTCTCAGGGCTGTTGTGATGCTTAAATGAATCAGGTGGATGCAAAGTGCTCAGGCGTGGGCCTGAAGAACAAACGCTATGTAAACACAGCTATTATTATTACAGCTGTGATTACAGGTGGGGCCTCAGAGAGCCAGAGACAGGGAGTGATCTGACGGAGGCTGGCAGAGACAGAGGGACGAGGCTGGGCTTGAACTCACACAGCCTGCCTCCTGGAACTGTCACCAAGGGTCTAAGGCAGCGGGAACGTCTCTGTTCCCACACGGCAGCGCCAGTCCCATGTAGGGGGCACTGTGCAGCAAGCCACGTCAGAGCCTGTGTGTGTCTTGTTCAAGCTCTGGGCTCATTCGGAAGTGAGACCAAATAATCACCTTAACGGCGATTTACCTGCATTTCGAAAAACCATTTGACTTGGTCTCCATAATGTCCCTGCTGATCCGAGGAAGCTGCTCCTATCATTACTGGCCTTTCTACCACTCCCCAAGCCAGACATGGCATTTTTGCCGCCAGAACGTGTCATCCCAAAGGTTAACCCACGGGGAATGCTGGCGGAGGGCCCATGTGATCCTCAAGGAGGGACGGGAAGGGACCCAGGTCCCCTTTGTGCTGCAGCCTGAGCTGGGTCAGCGGATCTTGCAATCACTTCCACCCATCACTCCTCGCCGAGGCAGTGGGGTTCCTCCCTGACAACCAGCAGACTCCAGGCGTGCCTGGGCCAGAGAAGAAATCAAGGTGGCATTCCCACCTGCCGGCGGGGACACACACGCAGCCCACTCCCTGATTCCCTGGCACACAGCCCACCGCAATCTGTTTTCACAGGTGCTAAGGGCTCCTGGCCTCTCCTTCCCCGACAGAGGGTATAAAATGCGTCAGAATCCACACTCCGGGTGACAGGATCACTGTTTCACTTGGCACCGAGGTTCTGCCCAGACCGTGTACTGCTCAGGGCACTGGCTCACTGCTGAACTGCCTGCTCCTTGCCCAGACGCCAGTGGAGCGTGGAGGCCTCACTGGGACTCTGGGGCTCTGGGGTGGGGGAGGGGGGGTGACACACTTACAGCGAGCCAGCCTCCACGTTGGGGCCCCTCACGTAGAACGGGACCCTGATGTCGAACTCGTATGGCATGGACTTCCCCTTCACCAGGCCGAACTGGCCGATGTGGTAGCCGTGGTCGGCGGTGTACACGAGGTAGGTGTTGTCCAGCTCGCCCGTCTCCACCAGCATGTTGTAGAGCTGGGACCCGGGCGGCAGGTGAGTGTGTGGGAAGGCCAGGGCTCCCAGCGCCCGGCCCCTCTCGCCCCTAGCCTGACAGGTGCTTAGGTCTCAGGCCCCGACCCTCTCCTGCTCCAGGGCGTCCTCGGTGGTTCAACCGTCACCTCTCGGCGGGGCCCTGGGCTGTCCCATGCAGCCTTCCCACCTCCTGTCACCTCCTGTCCCTGTTCTTCTCATCTTCTATCTCTTCTACTTATTTGTGGATTGTCTGTCTCCCTGCATGAGAATGAAAGCGCCATCCCAGGAGGGACTTTTGTCACTTAGTTCCCTGCTGTCTCCTCCATGTGCACGGGCACTTAACAAATGAATGAATGAATGAATGAATGAATGAAGTGGGTCTTGGCAGGAGACACGAAGCAGATTACTGGTTGCCTAAGGATGAAGGGTAAGGGGGCTTTGAAGGGTGATGACTAAGGGCTGCGAGGTCTATTTTGGGGGTACTAAAAAATGTCCTAAAATAGATTGTGGCCATGACCGCACAACTCTGCACATATATCAAAACCACTGAATTGTACACCTTAATTGGGTGAATTATATGGTATGTGAATTACATCTCAATAAAGCTGTTAAAAAGTGGAAATAACCACGCGTGGCTACTGTATCGAAGGGAGCGGAGCCAGAAGGGGCGTCTTGGGAAGGCGGGGTCCTGTCGGGACTGCTGGGGCCGTTCTCCCCAGGCCGGGAACAGCGCCTTCCATTCTGTCTCCCGGCCTCCCCGCTAAGGACACTGGGGCGGGGCGGAGGGCAGAGAGGTGAGCGGCAGGAGGAGGGCGGCCTACCGTCTCCATGGAGTCGTCCACGGACATGAGCGTCTGCAGGCGCTTCCGCTGGAGCATGTTGGTGAATTCCATGTGAATGGGCTTCATGGGGCCCGTGTAGCGCATGATCCAGTGCTTGTCGGGGTTGGGCGCGTAGTTGTAGCTGGGCGTGCTGGTGGGTGCAAACACACACACAGTCAGGCCAGAGGGTGCGGGGCCGGCCCCCAGCCCGCCCACACTGCCGGTGCGCACCCGCCCTGAGCCGTGTCTGCAGCCCGGTGGGACACAAACACACACACACACACAGTCAGGCCAGAGGGTGCGGGGCCGGCCCCCAGTCCGCCCACACTGAGCACCCGCCCTGAGCCGTGTCTGCAGCCCGGTGGGAAACACCCCCGTCTGGGGCGAACCGGACACTGGAATGTCAGGGCCTCTGCTCAGCGTGCGGTCAGCGTCCGTCTGTATGTGGGGTGCACGCGCCGGACGGCCGTAAGAGGCGCAGAGGGAGCGAGCCCCTCCCACTCCAGCTGCCAGCACGTCCGGCACAAGGCCAAAGCCTCAGCCCGGTGCCCGTCTGTCCTGAAGGCCCGTCTGGGATTGCCCTCCTTTCTGTTTAATCCTTTCCCCGTTTGCTTTGGGGATCCTTGCGGTGGCACTTGGGGACGCAGCGTTTTACCCCGAGATAACGCGCGGATTTCTGTCCTTACCTCACCCCCAAAGTCTGCCATGAAATATCTCGCTTTCACGATTAGTTTCGCATCGCTCTAGTATATCCGTAGTCTTTAGGAACAAATGACATCATTCTACTTTATAGCTTTGTTTTTAGTCGCTGGATCGCGGAACGTGTCAAATCCTAGAAAAGGCGCCATTCCTACGCCTGATGGAAAATGAACGCGGGCAGCGAGCTGCACATTTTTTTTTTTTTAAGTGGGAAGAGGGTTAGAGAGGCTCATGTTCGAGGCCTTCGGTGGGCACAGCGCCCGATTCTGCCTTCGCAGTGCTGGGTTTAGTTTTCAGTGACCTTGGGCAGACAGCAAGTGATAGATATCATGGTATGGCACGACTCAGAATTTCCTTTTGCAATAGATTTTGTTTAAAAAAAAGGAAATTGATTCAAAAAGTAAATAAATGAGTCATGCATGCATGGCCAACGTCGTGAGGTTGGCCTGTGACTGTGTACATTGGGGACACGCCACATTCTGTGACTTAAGTTGTCACAGTTATTCATTCTGTTTCGTTTACCCTCCCATTTAAGAAAGAAAATGGAGCATCTGAGAAGTTTGGGATTCTGCCCACAGTGCTAGAGCCCTTGGACTCCGAGACTTCTGCTGTGGGGTCAGCTGTGATGACAGACAAATCTGATAACCTTGACCTCCGCTGAGCTCTTACTGTGTGCTGGGCACAGCTTTGCCTTATGCCATCTCATTTAATATTCGTAACCATCTTAGGAGCTGCAGCTAATTTTATTCTTATGTGAGAAATGAGGAAACTGAGGCCCAGTAAGGGAACTAACTTGCCAAAAGCAGAACTGGGGGTTTGAACTCCAGAAGCAGGTATGGTTGGCTACATAAACACTTCCCTGACCAGAGACCCTCATGTCCATAAGTGTTTGAGCAAAACTTTGGCCAAGACGTTCTTGCTAGAGGACAAAGCAGCAAAAACACCTGGGTTAATTCAGTCCATGGCCTCGGAAGTTTTCAGATGATTCCAGTAACATATTACTCTGTCCCAAACCGAGAGCAGATCTGAGCTATTGAACAGGGGGATTCTGGATGGGGGACACCATGGACAGGAAGCTCTATTTAAAACCCACAAATAGTGGGCGCCCCTCCCACTAGGTCTGATATTTGAGGGCCAGGTACTCCCAGATCTTACCCGAGCCCCAGGCAAAGCTACAAATAAAAGTTGTTTTCATTGCTTGAAGATAAAAGGCTTTTCAAAATGGACATTAAGGGAGCAAGGGGCTGCAGGGTGTGGGGGAGGCCAAAACACATTGTGTCAGTGGCTGAACTCCCCTCCCTCTCGCAGGCCACATCAGAACCTTTACAGCCTCCCGAATATTGGAAAGTTCTCAGGGTAGAAGCGATGATGCTGTAGGCCTAGGCAGCCTGACAGTTATGGAGACGGTTGCTATGCAGAGCAGGTGCGTCACAGCCTCCAGGTTCCTTCTGGACTTCACTCTCAGTCCCCGTGGGTCTCCTGTCACTAAACCCAACCCGGCCCCCGGCCTCCTCTGCTCATGACAACTGTGGTGTGTTCCTGTGGGGCAGCTTGGGGCCTGACCCTCGTGGGGAGCCTCCTGGGAACAAGCCCCCGCCACGCCCCCACCGAGGAGCCGGCAGGGGTTGCTGGGGGCTGGGCTGCACCAAGGGCTGCTGGACGTGTGGGAAAATGGTTCCGGCAGCCCAAGGGGCCGCATTCCAGAAGGCAATTTTGAGCCATCGCCTCTGAGTCTATTAAGAGTCTACGAGGCTGGTGTCTGCCCTGAGAGCAGCTGGGAGCTGGGGTGTCTGTCGGGGGTCAGCGGCCCCTCCTCTGACAGGCAGGAGGCTGCAGAGCCCAGGTCCCGCCTGGGGCCAGTGCTAGCTTACTGGTCACCTGCAGGAGGCCAGGCTCCCTCAGAGAGGGTGTGGCGTTTTCACAGGAACCCAGCCGCCTGCTGAA